TGCGCCGAAGTGCATAACTTTGCATTTTTCAACATTAAATTGCATCTGCCATTTGAGTGCCCAGTCCCCCAGTCTATCTAAATCCCTCTGCTCAAAGTAATATCTTGCTCACATTGTATTATTTTACAGAGTTTTGTGTCATCTGCAAACACTGCAACATGACTTTCAATGCTGTCTTCGAGATCATTTATAGACATGTTAAATAGAAGGGGTCCCAGAACAGACCCCTGAGGGACACCACTTGCCACCTCTGTCCAGCCTTAAAATTTACCATTACGACAACTCTTTGTACTCTGTTTTTTAGCCAATGTTCTACCCAAGAACAAGCATTTTCATCTAGACCGATTTCCTTGAGTTTGAACACTAATCTATTGTGTGCAACTGTATCAAATACCTTGGCAAAATCCAAATAGATCACATCCTCTGCAACACCCTGATCTATATTTCTGCTTACTTATTCGTAGAACACAATCAAGCTAGTTTGACATGACCTGTGCTTCATAACCGTGCTGATTTTTGCTGATAACCATGTTCTTCTCAAGGAATTCTTGAATATTATCCCTTAACCTTTCAAATATTTTCCCAGCCACAGAAGTTAAGCTCACGGGTCTATAATTTCCAGGCAAGGATTTTGAACCATTTTTGAATATAGGAACCACATCTGCCTTCCTCCAATTCTCCGGAACACTTTCTGAAAGAAAAGAATCTTGAAAGATTAAAAACAGAGGTTCACTTATTTCTACATTTAGTTCCTAAAGTACTTGTGGATGGATACCGTCAGGCCCTTTATGTTAACTTTCTTTAGTTGCTGCAGCACCTTGTCTTGAGTTAACCAATTACAATTATTCTGCAAGTTTTCAGTAGCAATCACTTGCACATCTATTGCCATGGGTTCTTCCTTAATATATATTGTAACGGAGCTCCCTGTACTCCGACCGAGTACCCTCCGTTGATGGATGCTCCTAGCGCTTCCTGAGGACTCCGAAAACTGCAGCAGACACCACAACCACCGCAGACTCCACAACCGCCGTAGCTTAACTGGAGTCTCGCCGTCTTCCTTCCACCCTGGATCAGCTTCTGTCCTCCAGGACCGTGTGGGGAAGACCTCTCCTCCAGGAGAGCGTAACAGGAACAGCTCTTAAAAGAGCTAAGTGATTAAAAGCTCAGAGGAATATGCAGAGCATAGCAATCCTCAGTGTGATATAGCAGTTCCCTCCAATAACGAGACAAGGCTACGTATTGAGGGTCAAGAAGATCTGTTTACTTGGCACCAAAGGGCCTTCTTTTATGCAGGTTTCCCTGAGATAGGAACACCTACAGGGGTTTACAGAATAACCAATCATAAACGTACATTACAGAAACACTCCCAGCAATTACACACAAAAATCCTCCCCTCTGCCTGTGATCTAATTATGGCACACAATGGGTTAACATAATTAAACACAGGCAGTAAAAATACAGTTTTTATACATGTACTATAACTTTAAAACTACACATCCAATCTTACATATTTGGAATCAGCACACTTTAAACATAAACATAACCAAAAATCAGCCAAATCCATCCAGGGGTTAAAAAGTTACCTGGAGGTCCCTTTATGACTGACCGCAAGCAATTACCTGGAGGTCCCTTTATGACCGACCGCAAGCACATTTTCCTGCCCAAAACAGTTCCATGGATTTGGGCTGTGCGGTCGGTCTATTTCAGGCTGAAATGCCGAATGGGACTTAGTCTCTGCAGCTCTAAAATCAGTATGGAAGAAGGTAGAGCTCAGCGGTGTTCGCGGAAATGTGTAGCCGATTTTAGTTCCATGAATTTGGCTACACATACCGCTGACCTCGTTCGCATTAACAAAGATGGCCGCCGCCACGTGTTCGGCAAACGAACAAAGGCCACCCAGCATTGTCAATTAAGCTGCGGTTAACCGCAGCTTCTGGGAGGTAAATTGCTTGCACACTTCCACTTCTGGGTGGTCTGCCTGTGTGGTACTTGGTTCAGTAAGCCCCATTTACTGAACCAAGTGGGAAATAGCCAGGCAGGCACAAAGGGTTTGCACCAGGTCTGGGGACACAGCGGACACCGTCTTAAAGGGGCAGTGTCCCAAACAAGTCTGGGGACACGGTCTTAAAGGGGCAGTGTCCCAATCTTCCTGATGTCCCAAAAAGGTAGTTAAAGGGCCAGCACCAGTCCCATAAAGAGTCCATAAGCCCCAATATGCCCACTGGCTGTCTTAAAGGGCCATACACACTCAATAAAAGTGCAGAAATTCTCACAATCTCCCAGGGGCCATAGTCATGTGGAAGGAGGCTGGCAAATAGACTTCTCCACAACCCAGGGAAGCAGGGCAATTTGCCATTTAAAGGGCCAGTTACAAATAGCAGTTTGTAACATATATTATATAATGTAACGGCACCCCCAGGCATAAAGGGGGTTAACAGCTGTTTAGGAGATATTCCTCTTCCAGATATACAAGCAGCTACTGTAGACACCAATCCACCGAACCGGAGAAGCATACGAATGCTCTCAAACATATGAATGCTGTAAACAGCTGAATAGGAAAAACCATACGAACAATTTACACTCCTGGCAATCGGTCTGAAACAGCATATAATCCAATTCCCCCAATAACGAGACGACACTTTGAGGTTCAAGCAGAATCAGCCAGAGCTGTGGGTTTATTGTTCTTATATACACATTCTTACACATTAGTACCACCCACCGGGTTTTGTAAAACAACCAATAAACACGTACAATACACTCAGACACTTCCACACAAAATCCTCCCTTCTGCCTGTGATACAATTACCTTACACAATGGGTTAATGTAATTATCACAGGCAGGAAAATACACTTTAAAATACATAAAGTCACCGTTTACACATAACACACAGACATTTCACATATCCCCAGATAGCTGGGATCTGAGCGCACAAAACTACCGAATAGCGCTCAGATCCTATTTACACAGTTCAATTGCCATGGAGCCAAAGTCTTTAACTACACGAATGGGTTCCATGGCATAGCTATCTGGGTTAACACATTCACATAAAGTCTGGTCCATAGTCCAACGGCAAGAGGCGGGCAAGCAACCCCCTCCAAGGACACGTGGCAAGGTCGGTTTCGCCACAGGAAGACCACTAAAAGAGAAGGGAGAAGGGACATTTTTCATATTACATTCATTAAATTCATTAAAAAGTCTAATAATAAAATTATAGAAAAAACTCATTTGGGGAAATTAGTCCTTTTTCGTTTCGGTTTTTGGCCAAAGGCATCCTGAATTTTCGGTTTCGGCCCAGAATTTTCATTTCAGTGCATCCCTAATAATAACAATTTGCGTATGCAGAGAATCCAAGATCATGTGAGCAAGTAAAAATTATAGTTATGGCTATATATATATATATATATATATATATATATATAAAATCCAGCGCATTCGCTTATTCACTAAACAACGATTTTAAATCTTAGAGATTGTAATAGTTTTATTTAAAAACACCTCACCTAGGCAAAAAAATAATGGGGGTTTAGTTACATTATATGATCATATATTGCATAAGGCTGCCACAACGTCAATGTACCCATTCTTGGCAGGTCCTAATCTAGCAGCCTAATGCTTGCTCTTATGAGATGAATCCACTTACTGGGGAAATACTTCCTTACTGGGACTCTCTGCAAGTCAAGGCTAAATGGGGTCCTGAAATGAGGCACCTGTGACAGGGAGGGGTGCAAAACCAATGAGTTGGCTTGGACTCCCAAATATATAAATGAAACCAAGTGGGCTGCATTCACCTGAACATGCATACATTATAGGGTTCTGTTGGGGCATGTTCATATATGCATGTTCAGGTGAGCGCGGTAAGATGTAAAGTGCGTAGCAGACGATAAGTACGTTGGATAACATTATTTACTATTGGGTGAGAGAGGTTTAGTTTGACGTATGCGTAGTAATCCAAACTTGTAAAGTCAGCAACAATCAACGACCACTTAGTTTAAATCACACATAGCGATGCAGCACAGTATAATAAATGGGTAAAACTAGCTGGAAACTAACTGATTATATAACAAATGATAATTGAATGCCTAATGATGGATAGCATGGCTGAACAAGGTATATAAAATAAGTGAAATTAATATCACTGATTGTATCGTTACAATTGCACCTGTCATGGGTTGAGATAAATTAGGCAGCAAGGGAACAGTCAGTTCCTGAATTTGTGTTAGAAGCATAAAAAGGGCCAAGCAAAAAGATCTGAGTGACTTTGACAAGGGTCAAATAGTGATGGCTAGACGACTGGGTCAAAGCAAGTCTGATGGGTGTTCTCGGAATGCAAAAGTATTGCAAGGAAGGACAGCCAGTGAACTGGCATCATGGTCATGGGTGCACAGGGCTCATTGATGTATGTGGGGAACATAGAGAAGTCCCCATAGAAGGTAAACTGAGATCCATCAAACGGCCAGTAGAGGTATTATGTGTGAGGAGGGCTTGCATTTGTGTGTGGTGTGTTGTATTGTGTCACTGAATAGTTTTGATAACTGAATGTAAGGTACATAAAATAACATTACAATTTCTTTTTCTTTTTTAGAACTGAGCTCATTAGAAAATATTTTCCCTAAAAACAGAAACAGCAGCTGTCAATCTCCATTTGGTAAGTTCAGTGCCTTTTTTATGTTTATTATAAAATATAAACATAAAAGATCCAGCACACTCATTCACTAAAACCCAACTTCAAGACTTACATAATGTAATAGTAAAAAAAACACTCCTAATCTAGGCAAAAACAATGGGGGCTTAGTTACAGTATATGATCATGTGGCAGACCTATGTGATGAATTGTGTATGTTGTATGAATTGGCCCCAGCAGGATGCTTATATATGCAGGTTTAGGTGAGTGCAAACCTCTTGGTTTTATAATATATATATATATATATATATAATTATATTGAAGAAAGATGCACTCTTCGGTCTTTTTAAGAATATTAACGGTCTTTAATCCATCAAAGGTTTACAGGTTGTTTGATCAACGTTTCGACCCGTTCAGGTCTTCCTCGAACGGGTCAAAACGTTTATCAAACAACCTGTAAACCTTTGATGCATTAAAGACCATTAATATTCTTAAAAAGACAGAAGAGTGCATCTTTCTTCAATATAATTTTATATATATATATATTATAAAACCAAGAGGTTTGCACTCACCTAAACCTGCATATATAAGCATCCTGCTTGGGCCAATTCATGCATCTTTCTTCAATATAATTATTTATCAGCATAAGATTGCACCAGGGCACCTTACTATTCATTACATCAGGAAGGGTGAGTGCCATTATTTGTGCTATATATATATATATATATATATATATATATATATATACAGGGACGTATTAGCCGCGAGGCAAACAAGGCATTTGCCTTGGGCGGCATTTTTCAGGGGGCGGCAAAAAACGCCGCCCCCCAAATGCCCAGGGCAGATGCCTAGTTAGCCTTGCGGCTAACTGACATCCCGAGCGGGCGGGCGGGCGGCCGGCGAGGGAGCACTTCCCATGAGCTGACTGCTCAGCTCCCTCGCGCACCGCAAAGTGAGGCTGGGAGCCGGAAGATGACGTCATCTTCCGATTCCCAGCCTCACTCTGCAGCCGACGCGCGAGGGAGCTGAGCAGTCAGCTCATGGGAAGTGCTCCCTCGCCGGCCGCCCGCCTGCCAGCGCCGCCCGCCCTGCAGCCACTGGACCACTGGACCACCAGGGAGACCCAAAGGTAAGGAGGTTGGGGGGGGATTTAAATTAAAAAAAAGTTAATGTGTGTGTGTTTGTGTGTGTGTTTGTGTGTGTGTTTGTGTCTGACTGTGTGTGTGTTTGTGTCTGTGTATGTGTCTGACTGTGTGTGTGTGTGTGTTTGTGTCTGACTGTGTTTGTGTCTGTGTATGTGTCTGACTGTGTGTTTGTGTGTGTGTGTGTGTGTCTGACTGTGTGTGTGTTTGTGTCTGACTGTGTATGTGTGTGTGTGTTTGTGTCTGACTGTGTCTGTGTATGTGTCTGACTGTGTCTGTGTATGTGTCTGACTGTGTGTGTGTTTGTGTATGTGTCTGACTGTGTGTGTGTGTTTGTGTATGTGTCTGACTGTGTGTGTGTTTGTGTATGTGTCTGACTGTGTGTGTGTGTATTTAGAAGGTGGGGCGGGGGGAAGGGTTGGGTGAGGGTGGCGCGGGGGGGAGTGGGGCGCCTGAGTTTTGTCCTGCCTAGGGCAGCACAAAACCAGGATACACCACTGTATATATATATATGTATTAAGGTAATTTGCCTGCATTTGTGGGAGGTGCTGGTTTGCTACCCCTAGCCTACTTAAGGCACTCCCCTTGCCTGGCTCCTTACCGTTCGAGGTCAGCGTTGAATGAGGATCCACTTCCGGGTTCTCTCAGACACCATCTTGGTTTCAGTGTCCAGGAGGTTTCACCACGTTAAGCTGTGTCTAGGAATCCTGTTCAGGCCTTTCCGCCCGTCCAGCTTCTTCTGACTCCGTTCTCCGTCGTAGATCGCGTCCCAGGGACTCCTAAACCGTAAGTCAGACCTTCCTGTCATGCCAGGACTGGTTCCCACGGCGTACGGTACAGCACGGGTCCTTGCTTTACGGCTTTTTCCCTGGTTATGACACGAATGTTTCAAGCCATTCGCGGGCTTTTCATTCGTACGGTCATTCGGCTGAACATATTTAAATCATTCAATAGTCATTTCGCATATCCTATTTCATGTTATTGAAACGAATTATCATTCGGTTGTTTTGCCGTTCGGCAAATTTTTACATACGCTCATACACGCTTTTGGTTCGCATAAATCATACGGTTAAACTATTCTAACTTCTGTGTTCCCCTCACATTTGCTTTCGGCTTTTCTGTGTGTTCACGTATAATCCTTTCATGAATTATATTCACCATTTCATGTGTATTACGTTAAAGAATTGCTTGCTTAAATAGATTATTTTGATTACTTTTAAAATATTGTCAGTATTGTATTACGTCCACAAATCAAGTCCACTTCTCTGTATATACCATTTGACTCCCACGCTTTCAGGGGTCTGCATTACTTATCCATTTATACAAATGGACTCAGCCTATGTTACAAGCCTCACTTCTGGGTTATTAATACAACACATACAAGGATATAGGTTCATTTAAGCAATAATTCTCGGGTTGATACGTCTTTTCTATACAAACATATCATATAGATATACATCACTTTACATCATTTTAAATCATTTTGGGGTATCCCTGCCTTTGGTTATTCTGCTACATATCATACATAACGCTGTGTTAATTAGGCCATGACCTCATCCATGTCCCTTTCTATAAAACCAGTTACATTTCGGTACAGATCATTGAACTCCCACGCCAGGAGTTTTATAACTATCCATTTCATTTCAATTCACTCAGCCTACATTACAGGCCTCATTTCTCTGTCATGACGATGACACATAAGGCTTAAATCCTTTCGCATGCATACTCGGGTTGAATCACACGTACTGATCCAACCAATCATACGTCCTCTGCACAGTCATATACATATGTATATAACCTACGTTTCATGTTTTCCTTTACACACCATTATCACGTAACACATAGATTGTTTGTACATAGGCCACGGCCTCCCTCAGATGTCTTATTCAAGCATGCAAACATTTCTGAGCCACTCATAGCTATTCCCATGGTATCAACATAATTTTATACATTGCTGCTACAGACTATAAGTCTGGTTCTTTTACACTCCACACTCATCATACTACTCTCTTTTACCCATTTTTAGGCTGTCAAGCTTATATAATTGCTCCACACGGTTTATTCCTGTGATTTATCATATTACCAGGTACGTACACCTGCTCATATGGTATTCTACCATACATTTCATTTCATCCCCCTAGTTTAGAGTACTGGCAATAGGGTCACAGGATTCCCAATAGGTATTTACCCCGTCTTGGCTGTCGCCATCAGTTAGTGGTCCCGCGAGGCCAACACCCCGCCTCAAACGTTTCGGAGGCAAACACCCATCGGCCACACGTTAGCTAGCCGCCTCGCATGTTGCATAGAGAGGGCCTCACCTGTCACTCCCTTCCCCTGTTTTCTGTCATACAGTCACCGAGAGGCCTAAAACTCCTGCCACTACGTCAAGTGGCCTCAATAACCCCTCGCGCCAACGCATAGATAGAGCCTCTCAAGCCGCTTTGCAATTAGTAGGGCCTCACCTGTCACCAAACAAGCATAATACTTTCGCCATCCGGCCTAGCTAGCCTGCCAGTACAATTTGGTGGTTCTATATACCAATTATTGTTTTATTTATAGTATGTCTCAGGAAGGGGTAGAGGATTTCTCCCTGCCTAGCACCCCGGCTAGAGCTGTCACTCCCACACAAGGAGGAGAGCTAGCTAGTCCAGCATCAATTAGATCCTGGACAATTCCGCGCATAAACACGGAATTAAGGAGACGACAAATCCCCTACCCCGCTACAGCAAGGAAGGCAGAACTTTTCAAACTGCTACGCACATCAACTAATAACATGGAAGCCGGGGAAGGATCTAGCCAGTCCAACCCAGGGACATACATGCCATGTTATCCTCACTCATGGCATCAATGGGCAAGGTCAACTCCAGGCTGGAGAAACTTGAGTCGGTCACCACGGCCCTCACTCTAGCAGGGCCACCCGCGGCTGCGGTACAAACACCAGCCTTGCCATTAGTCGCTCCAGCCAGCCCCCTGGATGACCAGGAAGTTAGCCCGGCCCACATGATACCTGAGCATATCAAAAGGGATATCCTGGAAGGTAAAGGCGTCAACCTGGCTTCCCTGTTGATTGCCTCCCAGGACATTGTGGAACATAAGACGTATGCTTATGATGATGTTTCTGTTATTGTCAGATCTAGGGATGCCCGCCTGAACAGGAAACTGACTATCCCTGAATTTACTGTGCGGTTTATCCCAACAGAAGAGAGGAGTTTGATCTCTATATGCACAAGCTGGTAGACCTGGGCAACAAATATGGTGGTTCAGCATTCTATGACTACCATAGGTCTTTTTCTGCAAAAGTGGCTGGAGCCTTCTCCCAGTACGGAACACGATCCAACTGGGGAAGGATTGATACCGTCTTATTTTGCAGACACTTTGCAGGTCTAAGAACACCAGCTTGTGCATACTGCTCCTCCACAGCCCATACTACTAATTTTTGTCCCAACACGGCAGACGGACATGCCTCCACGCAAGGAGCTAGTTCCTCTGGGGATCCAGGGAAATTTTCAAAAGACAAATTGGGACGCCCAATCAAGTTTCTGGGCAAGTTCCAGATATGTAATAATTTCAATGTTGGGTCTTGTAATTACAGTGGATGTAGACTATTGCATGTCTGTTCAAAATGTTTTAGGGCACATGCAAAGACCATGTGTCCAAATAAAATGTATTCCAAGCCTTACCTTACGTCCATTAATATGCCAGTATTCACAGCATTGATGTCTCAGCACCCATCTAGACACCTGGTAGATTTTCTTATTTCTGGTTTAACAGAAGGCTTCCACACAGGTATCCTACACATACCAGCTGGAACTCTGGAATGCCCTAACCTACAATCCGCCCAACACAACCCCACAGTGGTTGACACCCTCATAAACCAAGAAGTGGATGAGGGCTTTGTATTGGGGCCTTTTAGAACTCCTCCATTCACAGAATGGCGCACCAACCCTATTGGTATTGTCACAGGGAAATCTTCCCAAAAACAGAGACTCATCATTGACTTATCGGCTCCCCACTCATTGGCCAACCCCAGTCTTAATTCCCTCATACCCTCTGAGGAATTCTCTCTGCAATACACCACCATAGATCACGCCATTACAGCTATCATACAAGCAGGGGTTGGAGCCTGGCTCAGTAAGACCGACATTACTAACGCCTTCAAATTACTCCCTATCCACCCCACACTGTGGCACCTGCATGGCATCAAGTGGTCCGAGAACTACTATTTTTAACTTTTGGGTCCAAAAGTAGCCCAGCTATTTTCGACACATTTGCCGAAGCATTATGCTGGTTACTATTGAACATAGCTGGATGCCCTACAGTATTACATT